GAATACTCGCCCCAGCCCCTCGGTTTGGTTCTGACGATACTACCGCCTCCCCGCTGATGCCAGTTGTCCGTTCCCCCCTCCCCCTTCTTGACCCAGTTGCCGCGGCTACCCCGAGAACCACTCGTCCAGCCACCCTCCGCTGCTGACGCTTTCATATGGCCTCTGTTCACGAACCCCTCCCCCGTTCGCGCTGGTGTTTCACACTAATCCTGATGCTACGTGAATTGTCCAGTGAAATCATATATAACCGCAGTCACCCTCCTCTCCCACTAACACACACAAGGTTTCTCAAGACTAGATTTGTCCTGCGTGGCTTTATTCTTGAACTTGTGTCGATCCCTTGTATAGACTTCCTTCGCTCTTGACTTGGTGTGTCCATTGTTGAGGTTTGAACACCATTTACCCCCTACTATTTTGCTTAATATTACCGTACCACCTTTCTAGTTGTTATCACAGGTTTTGGCGCAGGCGTGGCTGCTGGATACAGTCGGAGAAGTCAAGGGACGAAACAATAAGCAGGGAGAGTTACTGCTTTTTAACGCGCCCGCTGTTGGATAGGGTTAGACATACATACGCTCATTTGAGTGACCACAAAACCATAAAATGCATTTAAAACATAAACGTACAAACCAACAAAAAGGCATTTTCTATGGTTAAATAGGTACTTGGGCTAACTAAAAGAGCATAACATTCCAAACAGTGAGTTGTAATTACGAAGTAAGACAGCATATAATAAAGCAGACAAGAATATGCCAGGGAAGGTAAACACTTGTACACTCACATTTTCATGATTCATGTGGGAGAGTATAGCCAGTTCGCGATAAGTCCGCTTAGCGTATTCTGCATTGTCAAAGGGTCGATCCAATTTCTTAATGGCAACTTGTATGTTCAATTTCATGTCCTTGGCAGAGCTACGAGAGGGAAAGCAAGGGGTCAAACAGCAAAAAAAACCAGCTCATCGAAAAATGACTTCTGTCTGTGCTTCTTGATGATATGACAGCCCGACCATCGCAGGCCATGATGCCCACCGTGCGTTTCACGAGGACTGCAAAGCGGCGAT